GGTAAAGCTCAAAACGTAAACTCAATCTGCAATATGATGATCATACGAAAAAGCAGATTTATGTCTAAACGCATATTTACGTCTAAACGTAGATTTACGTCTAAACGCAGATTTACGTTTGAACCTTGAAACTCGTTCGTAAAATCGCAGAGGGCAGTAAGCTATTGAGAAGTTTGCGGTGAAGGTAAAATGCTCAAAGGAAATGCAAATCGAGATTTAGAGTGGTTCGGTCAATCTTGACCTACTCCACTTTTGGCTTCCTCCACCGACGAGGTCACCGACGTCAACTAGAGGCCTTCCTTCAATAGGCGAAGGCCAACCACCCTCTTACAGATTCACTCCTTTTGACGGGCTTAGGAGACAACCCTTACAGAAGTTTTCTCTCCTCTCTTTACAACTCAAACTTTGAAGAACAGAAAGAGGAGAACTAGAAGTTTTGAGCTCTAAGAACCACAGAAAGACAGCAAGATTTCGAGTGTGTGTTCTGTGCTTTCAGTGCTGAATGGGTGGGGTATTTATAGGCCCCAACCCAGTTCAAATTTGGAGCTCAATTCTGTCAATTCCCGGAATTTCGGGATCAGGCGGTTGCACCTCCTGACTGGGGCGGTTGCACCGCTTGGCAGAGCTCAAAGACTGAGCCTCTGGGCGGTGCCACCTCTGTCAGGGGCGGTTGCACCTCTCTGCCAGAGCTCGAAGACCGAGCTCAGGCAGTTGCACCGCCTGACTGGGGAGGTTGCACCGCCTGGCAGAGCTCGAAACTTGAGCTCTGGCGGTGCTACCTCTTGGCAGAAGAGGTTGCACCGCCCAGTCTCGCTCGGAGACTGAGCCCGGGGCGGTGCCACCTCTTGGCTGGGGCGGTTGCACCTCCCAGTCTCGCTGGGAGACATAGCCTGGGCGGTGCTACCTCCTGGCTTGGGCGGTTGCACCTCCCACAGCAATTAGGGTCCGAATGGGTTGATATATTCGGCCCAATTTGATTCTTTCATGGGTCCAATTTCCACAAGATTAAGCTAATGTGATCACCTCCCATTTCTAACTTAATCAATATGCTAACTATGATTATTTCCTAAGACATATTCTGCAGCTTGCTCCGGTGCGTCAATCGCTTCTTCCGGCGAGTTTCTGGTGAATTTTCGTCGATCATCCGATGAAACCTCGGTGATCCTCTTGCGGACTTCCGGCAAACTCCTAGACTTGCGACGATCCACTTGGCAAGTTCCGACGAGCTCCTTTGGCAAGCTTCTGGACTTCTCGGATTTGTTCCCGCAGAACCTCCAACGACTGTCCAAACTTCCGTCGAGCTCTCGAACTCCTAACGTGATCATTGTCATGACTCCAGCGCAACTCCTGCTGCATGTCTTACTTTCATCGTAGTTAATCCTGCACATGTAAAACAAAAACTTCGATCGAGACAATTAATCCTAAGCAATTAACCAAGTTGTCCGGCATGTCATTGGTCCCTCGACGCTTCGTCCGATTCTTCGGCGCATCGTCCTTTCCTGCGACCTATTGCTCAATCGGCCAGTTGACTCCGCAACTCCGATATCCTTGGCACAATACCCGCTCTTCTTGGCCCGATGCCCGAGTCCACGGCCCGAAGCCTTCTGTCGATACGTCGACCGATCCACCGACCCGACGTCCAATCTTCTGACATGTTCCTCCGGCACAACATGATTTTTCTGCTTTAATTGTCTCATCCTGATCGAGGCATCCTGCATCACTCAAAACGCAGATTAAATCATAAACATATATCAAGTAGTTTCATCATCAAAATACGAGATTCAACAATGTGCATATGTGGATCTATGGATACGCGGATGTGTTGATGTGTGATATGATTAAAAGATTATAGATCTTCTCTCATCTCCCTTTAGTCACGTAAACTAGTCATTAAGAGATTACATATCTTATCTTATCATCTTTTGTCTTTAAATTCATCGCTTATAGTGGTCCTTAAGAAGAGAAGAGAAGACGAATTAATTCTCCTTACAAATCGATATTACTATAAAATTCAAATATGACGATGGTATGCTTACAGATTAGATAAACATTTTTTGAGTAGCATTGAAAAGTACGCATCGTAAATTTTAAGATTTATTATTATTTGATTTTAAATTTTAATATTATTTTTTTAATAAAATAAGAACATATTAGGGTTCTTTATGCTTATATCATAACTATGCTATATACTCTTATGACAGAGAAGCCATCACCCGTGAAGCCATTGGAGTTTCTGATCAAGACAACAATGGCTTCGTTGGGGGCTAGTGATACAAGGATGCATGCAATGGTGCTTGTCGAGCACAATGCTCATAATGCAAATGTGGGAGGTGTTCAGACAAATCAAATCAGATAAATCCAGTTTGATTCTTCTTCCACCCATTCCTCTATCGTCCCTTTGGCGTCATACCTAGAAGATGAGGAGGGAATGAAGTAGAGGAAGAGGAAAAAGAAAAGAAAGGGAAGATAAGATGGAGAAGAAAAAGACGAAGATAGTGAAGGAGGAGAGCAAAGAGTGAGAAGTGAAAAAGAAATGAGAAGAACAAAAAGAAAAACAAGAGGATGGTTGACATGAATCGGTTAACTGATTCGAACTAATTTAGTGAATCGATTTAAAGTATTTTGAAAAAAGAATCGATTGAAATATAATAGCAAAACTGAGATTTATAGAAAGGGAATCTTTTGAATAATTTTTCACTCGAGGGAGGTAAAAACTAATCAGTAATAACTTTTGTAAGTAAATTTCGTTGGATCAACATTTTAATTTGTTTAGAATTTTAAGTTTGAATAAGAATTAAATTATTGTATATCAAAATTAGCTGTATTTACCTTTATATATAGAGGTAAATTGTAATAACATCTAGAGATAACTTAAATAAAATAGATCAGCTCTCATCAGCTGTAATTATTATTCCTTACATTGATATTGACTGATCGATTCATAAATCGGTCAAAATCAGGCAATTCCAACGACAACCCATAATGCAGTAATCAATCTGCTTGATTTCAGGATCTTTTTCTGACGTTGATATATCTCATTTTATAGTTTACTATGTTACACTTAGAATTGATAATGATCAATATTAAATTCACATAATTATAAAACACGGACATTTTTTCGATGGCCATTGATTCAAAGAGGAATATAAGACAACAGTGCTAACCATATGATTACACTTCGGTCATATGAAAGCTTTGTTGATGATTTTTTTCGTAAAGATAAGGTCTAAATAATATCTTTACAAGCTTTTAACTTTATGATCAATTATACCAAACCCCACTACTTATCAATTTTAATTCTATATTCTATATAACATGTAATTAGAGAGAGAGAGAGAGATTATGCAAATGACTAGTTAGCATTAACTAAGATATTGAGGATTCATCCCATGAACTGGTCTTGTTCTAATTCCGAAAAAAGCCCAACCTTTTTCACAATTTAAGTCATACTTAAAATGAATTATGTATTTGACAAACACTAATAAACTATAATTTTTAATTAAAAGTCAGTAAAAATAAGTAGGATCACTTAAGGAATTATATATTGTGGGTAAAAGAGTCCATCACACTTAGCTGCGCCTGATGGATCTACGCCGTGCCCCGTTATCGGATTCGGATCCTTTAGGGTCTCACACGTGATAATGGCTTCTGACGCGTCGTTCTGCAGAGGTAACGCGTTAGTAACGCAGTTGGGCGACATGTCATGTCTCCATCTGCCCAAGGCTGACACATGTCAGACGACCCTCCTCTGTCCCATCGCCGTCTTTAACGACCGTCAAATGTCTACCTTTCCTTCCAACGTCCGGAGCATATCGCCGTCAGTTCCGTCACACACGAACAGTTCCTGAGGCCTTTAAACGAGGGGCAAAAGCGGGTTTTCATGACGAAATGGACGGTTCCCGGCCGGTCTTTTCTGACGGCGTCAGTCCGCGGTTCTTCTTATTCCTCTAGTCGCTAACCGGCCGGTCTTCTCATTGTCGTCGATGGGGGAGAGGAGAAGAATGTGCGGCTTGAAGTCTCGACGAACACCAACCCGCCCTCTTCCTTCAAATCTCCTCACGCCTGCTCGCTTCGGGTTCTGAAGCCGGACGTGTCGTTCCCCGCGTTCCATGTCCCCAGCGTCGCTTTTCTTCTGTTGCCGGGTTCGGTATGCCGCATGAACCGGAGTCGCCGCCGCTGGAACACGAACGAGAGGGAGAGTCGCAGAAGCCACAGCTGCCGCGGCAACAGAGCCTGCTGTCACCGCCTCACAAGGTCGCCCGCCTCTCATCGGATGAAGCAGGTACTGCTTCGGTCCTTCTTCACCTTTTACTCTGATGGAGGGGTTGTTTCTGAGATGGTGGATGTCATGGTGTTGTTGGAAGCGATGGTGACCATGGCGGCGCCTTCGCCATTGATGCTGGGTTTGGGGCTCGGGCTTGGAACAGGACCGGGAGCTTCCAAACCGGTCATCACCTTCATGCAGCTGCAGGAGCTGGAGCACCAGGCCCTCATCTACAAGTACATGGCTGCCGGCCTCCCCGTCCCCGTCCACCTCGTCCTGCCTATCTGGAAGAGCGTCGCCGCTTCCTCCTTCGGCGCCTACCACTACCCATCCTGTTGTGCCCCATTCTGCTCTCCATCCTTTACGTCTAGTGTTTGGGGTTCTGGGTTTAGGCGACTAATCTGTGGTATTGGTTCGAGGCATGCAGTGATGGGCTACGGGAGCTTGTGCTTGGATTATCGCAACAGCATGGAGCCGGAGCCCGGGCGGTGCCGGAGGACCGACGGCAAGAAGTGGCGGTGCTCCAGAGACGTCGTCCCCGACCAGAAGTACTGCGAGCGCCACATGCACCGCGGCCGCAACCGTTCAAGAAAGCCCGTGGAAGCAGCCGCGACCTCCGCCGCCGCCGCTTCGACGCCACCCAGTTGTCCATCTCGATCCCGGCTGGTGGGCGGTTTCTGCCGCCCACCAACGCCGCCAGCGGCAGCAGCGGAACCGTGACGCTTGTCCGCGGACACCTTTTCTTTTTTCCTTTCTGCGATCTTTAGTGTATTGTGTAGTCTCAGTGAGATTTGGCTGTCGGAGAAGAGAGAGACCTAAGGAGGGTTGACATAGGAAGGCAGGGCCCACGAGCTTTGCTCCGCCGAAAGCTCCCACGAGAGATGCGGTTCAGGTTCAGCCATTCCTTTGCTTCTGAGGTGGTCGAACGTGGCAGAGACAGTGGAGTGAGTGGTAGAACTGCCTCTGTGTCCTCATGGCCACAACGGTCAGTGAGAGACAGGTCAGTGTTTTGGTCTGCCATGGTAAATCGATTCCCAGCTCTGACGCACGTCCAGTGCAGCCTTTGCTTTGTATTTGAATTTGGCCCGTACTGACAGCCTTGGATACGACGGACTCCGCAGAGGGTGCAATGCGTGCATGAGGCACTGTTCTGTGGTTGCTGCGCGTTTCACCGATCCAAACGGTAGATGCTTCTTTGTGGGCGACGGCACTCACCCATTGTTGACGCTCCTCTCTCTCACACTCTCTTCCGACCGCCGTTTGACGTACAGCATTGAAGAAAGATGCCCCCCATCATCACCTTTTCATGCTCTCTACGGTCTCCTCCAAACTCAGTAGTATTGAAGAAGCTTGATGGCTCTATTCATCTTCCCCCAGACGAACCATCTTCTTCACCTGATGAGATAATAAACCTCACGGCAAGTGAGATTTTCTCGAGAGTCGCTATTAAAACAAAGAAAGTTGAGGATTTTCTTTTCTTTTTTTGATTCAGTGAAGCTATTTGATCGTAGAAATCAAAGTAACTCATGTCTGAAAGCTATGTTTGAGCTTGATTTTATTTCTTAGTGAACTATATATAAACAATTATCAGAATCAAAATTTTCACGCCAAACTATGAGCCATTATCATCTAAATTTCATGCTTAATCATCGTTTCAAGATCAAGGCAAACCTTGGATTGGTTTAATGTTTCTTTTGGTATCATCTTGCAAAATGAATATTGTTTAAACCTGTGATGTAAAGAACAAAGTGGTCAAAATAGAAAACCTCTCTTTGTGGGGGGTTTTTCATGCAAAATTCAACTGTAAGAAAATATTTACATATTTAAGGGTTGCTATGTTTATATACTTATGACATGCAATGAAGACAGTTTTTGCCGATGTGAGTGAAAATTAGATGTCTTAAATCGGAATTCTAGAAAAACAAAAAAGGATGCATTTATCTAGAAAATACTTTATCTTAAATGTTCTAATTCATCAGTTAAATCCATCAAAAATAAATTGAAGACATAGTCAAAACCCTTCGAATTTTGGATTGACCGTCATATAGATAGATGTTTGAGAGCATTGAAAGACAGCATAAAGGAATGAAATTAACTCTTCACCATGATTTCTACTATTACTGGCAAGCGAAACTTGTGAATCAAAGGTGTCTTTGGGGTGCCTTTATTCCTGTCATCTTTGTCAATCTCTGTAGCCGTTTCATTGCTCACATTATATTATTTCAAAAAGAAGGGCGAAAAAACGAGACTTCCATTTGTTAATACAATTGGGTATTTTATCGAAAAAAATTATAATATTGATTTTTCACCCATTCGTTTTTCACTTGTGAGCACCTCTTCTTTTTCAATTTGAATGAAAGTATCCTCATATTTTTGCCCAAATGACCTGATCATAGATATTATTTTAAAAATATTTAATTTTTATAATTAATTGTCATGTAATTTTTAGAAAATATTTATCATCTTAGAATCATGCTCTAATAATTTTAAGATGATTAGTATCATTTTTTGTCTATTTCTCAAGAAATTTTTAATATATATATATAGCATGGGCAACCCCACAGCACAAGACAAAGTGAGGTACGTCGACCGCAAATGGTCAACTGACCCGTGAAGGTATGCCAAACTGCGCTCAAAATTCGATCTCGCACTCCTCCCTGTCTCGCTCTTTAGATCCTTACTTTCCTCAGTCTTCCGGTGCGCACTTATCCTCGCGGCAAATCTCTCGCGTCCCCTCTCCCCACCATACGACACACCATCCCCCACCGATTCAACCTCCGTGACGTCTTCTCCTGCAGCTCCCTTCCCCCCTCGAAAAAGTCATGGCCACCATCCATCAGCAGCAGCCATTAATCAACCACCATCCCCGGAACATCGTCACGTTAATTATGAATCTGGTGGCTCTCGTTGCATGCACACGTACAGACATCATCCCATGTTGACATGCATACTATCCATCCCATATATCACTCTCTCTGTAACTCTCTATCCCTTGATCCATCTGTCCATCTATCTATCTATCTATATATAAATGGATGCTCTCTTCTTCTTCTGCAGCTAATCTGTTGCACCAGGCTCTTTTGATGAATCTTCGCCAGGTCTCACAAACCCTGCAACAAGAATGGCCTCCACGCCGTCTTCTCCGAAAGAGCACCACTTCGTGGACATCCATCCCGTGCTGAGTGACGACAACGATAACCTTAACAGGCTCAGAGATCGCCAATCTTCCGATGCGACCGTCAATTTCCGAGCAGGCGGGGACGGTGAGGGAACGGAGAAGAGGCTACAGCGTAATGTGTGGACGTTTAGCCGGCAGATCCCCCTGGAGAGTGGCATCGGTGTGTTCGACGTGGAGAAGAAGGGATCAGTCGAGGGTGAAAGCAGCGGCAATGCCAGAGGGAAGAGCCTGGGAGGCGTAGGCGCCACCGGCGGCGATGCCGGCAACAGAAAGGGATACTTCGACATGTTCCGGACGAAGTCCGCGCTCGGCGCAAAGCAGAACTCCTCGATACCATCGTGGAAGGAGAATGAGCCCGACCCGGACAACGCTGAAGGTGTCGCCGGATCGGCCGGAGCCGACGGAGTCAACAAGAGCGTGCCCGCCGGAAGATACTTCGCCGCACTTCGAGGGCCAGAGCTGGACCAAGTCAGGGTGAGCGAGATCGAACCCGAAAATGGTGCAGTTCTAATACCGATCGCCTTACCAGTGCGCGTATTGGAGATGATTTCTATCTCTTGCAGGAGTACGAGGACATCCTCCTCCCGAAGGACGAGGTGTGGCCGTTCCTCCTCCGCTTTCCGGTCGGGTGCTTCGGTATCTGCCTTGGCCTCGGGAGCCAGGCCATCCTATGGGGAGCCCTCTCGTCGAGCCCTGCCATGGCCTTCCTCCGTGTCTCCCCCATCATCAATCTCGCCCTGTGGCTCCTCGCGCTCGCCATCCTCGTCTCCGTCTCCGTCGCCTACACCCTCAAGTGCGTCTTCTACTTCGAGGCCATCCGCCGCGAGTACTTTCATCCGGTCCGGGTGAACTTCTTCTTTGCGCCGTGGATCGCCTGCATGTTTCTGGCCATCGGGGTCCCGCCGAGGTGGGCGCCAAGGCATCTCCACCCGGCCATCTGGTGCGCCTTCATCGCGCCCCTGTTCGTCCTCGAGCTCAAGGTCTACGGGCAATGGCTATCCGGTGGGAAGCGCCGGCTGTGCAAGGTGGCCAACCCGTCGTCCCACCTCTCCGTGGTCGGCAACTTCGTCGGGGCCATCCTGGCGGCCAAGGTGGGGTGGGGGGAGGCCGGCAAGTTCCTGTGGGCGATCGGGCTGGCGCACTACCTCTGCTTGTTCGTGACACTGTACCAGAGGCTGACCACCAGCCAGGCCCTGCCCAAGGAGCTGCACCCCGTGTACTCCATGTTCATAGCGACGCCGTCGGCGGCGAGCATCGGGTGGCACGCCATCTACGGGGAGTTCGACGCCGTATCGAGGACCTTCTACTTCATCGCGCTCTTTCTCTACTGCTCGCTCGTTGTGCGCATCAATTTCTTTAGAGGATTCAAGTAAGGGCGGAGCAATTCTCGGTCTCTGATCCGCTCAATCATAAGACCATAAGTGGTAATATTGATGGTGGTTTCTGTGTTGAAGGTTCTCGGTGGCATGGTGGTCGTACACGTTTCCGATGACGACGGCTTCGCTGGCCGCCATCAGGTACGCGGAAGAGGTCACTTGCTTCTTCAGCAAAGGCCTGGCACTGAGCCTTTCGCTCATGTCCACCGCCATTGTGTCGCTGATGCTGGTGTCGACACTCCTCCACGCATTTGTCTGGCGCTCCCTATTCCCCAACGACCTCGCCATTGCCATCACCAAGGATAGGAGCGACGGAGCGAAGACGCAGGACAAGGAGAAGAAGGCTTCCAAGAAGAATTACGACCTCAAACGCTGGGCGAAGCAGTCCTCCCTTTCGCTTGTTTCCTCCATCAGGAGAGGCCACTCCGGAGACAAGGATTTGAAATAGCTGTTCATTGCATGCATTTAGGGACAAAAATTGATTCGGTACTCAAATTGGTTTTTTTGTCGATTTTTTTTTTCATTCTTTGTTGTTGTTTTCTTTGGAGGTGAGGGAAGTTTGATAATAAAATTGTGATCCAGAGATGTTCTCCTGAACTTGAAACAACGAGAATGATTACTTAATGTCTTCAATATAGCCTGAAAATAAAACAGAGACCACGAACACGTTGCCCCCCTGGTGTTAAACTCGTCATAGCCTACAAGTGACGCAAGCATATTGCAGAGAGCCAAAAGTCTTATGTGGTTTGCACCTTTAGCTGTAAAAAACGACATCTACAAGAAAACCATGGTCCCAATGATACACAGATAATGTTAAATGGTTCTGTGAATCGTCCAACAGATGATGGTGGTCAATGATGTTAAGTGTAACAATCGTCTCCTATTTGTTTCCTTTTTCGTGTAATTGTCGTTTCGTGTAATAGATCACAAGACACAAGTCCATTTCCCAGTGAACACCAGCAACTCAGTCATAGGGGAGAGGAACAGAGCACCAAAACGAAAGCTCTAAAGATAACAATCAACTTTACATGCTACTGCCAGGAACAGGTTTGAATTTGTTGAGCTAACTGAGCTCATCCTCGGCTTGGAGGTTTTGAAGAGTACTCTTGGCGTACATAGTAATAGCTGCAGTCGCTGCTGCTGCAATGCAGAAGCCAATTATGTCGTAGAGAACCTGCTGCACTGAAAGGAAACCACCAGTGTTGGTTGCATCTGCTAAGCTCCGAAGCACCCTCCCACTGCTCTCGCAGGTACGTCATACAACGAGAATGAAATAAGGTTAGCTGTTGCGTTGGAGATGCAGTTTTTTTTCTTTTTCACTCTGTGAAATCACTTCAATAATCATAAATTTCAAGAACACAAAGAAACAAAAGCAGCCTAGTAGTTCCAAGACAAGAAAAAAAATTAAAAAAATATGCATGCTGTCTACATTATTTTCAAGTTATTGTACATTTTTGTTTTTTACAAGATATAAAAAAGAAAAAGGTAACACCATGCATGCTGTCTACATTATTTTCAAGTTTTTGTACATTTTTGTTTTTTACAAGATATAAAAAAGAAAAAGGTAACACCATACATGCATGCCCCATAGGATGTTTGGAATTCACCAAATCATTAAATTATGATAACATTTTTAATCTAAGGAAACTCGCAGACTGTTCTATTTAAAAGTTTCAAGTGGCAACAAATTATAATCACACTTCCCTTTCTGGTGCAAAAGCTGCATGGATTCAATCTGTGCCAACAGTGTGTAATCAACATGTCAGATTGATTGACATAAGGTAAATGATCCTAATTGCATTAAGACAGGACTAACTATAGTATTCATTCGACTGAGCCAAGCCAATCTAATTATCAAACAGGTTAAATGGGTCAGATTGGAGTGCCTGTGTCAGGGCAATTCTTTAATTCTTGAGATGATAATTAAAAGAAACTAGTTTGAGTTTACACCTCATTCAAGAACAAGCATCTCAATCAGACACAAAAATGACATGGAAAACCAATGTTCTCAGAAGTCCATCAAATTTCCATTATAGCCATCCAATAAATTGGACCAAACAACCCAGAACTTATTCCAACCTTGTTCGACAGGTAAATTTGACTTGAAACTCGTAACAAACTTGATCCCGCACATATGATTACCCAGCTTCCTTTTAAAAGTTAAATATATTCATTTAACATCCAAATAGGAAAAATAGAGTAAACTAAATCATCAGTAACAAGTAAACCTTGAAACACAAGCTAATCAGCATGAAACAGCTCAAAAGTAATATCTTATACTACAGCATCATGAAGAAATATATGTGAACTTGATAAAAGTACCTAGTCTAAAATCAAACTAAAAAAGGAACTAATATAGACTGCTAAAGACATGCTAAGAACCACAACAATCGCGCTATAGAACAGGCACCAAGTGATCAAATAGATCAAACAAGATGGAAGTATATAAAAGTGATTACTAAATGACAACTGAAAATTTTAAGGAAGGATAAAGAACACTTAATGAGAAGGTCTCCACAATGCAAGACAGAAAATTTGCTTTTCTGTCAAGCATGCCTTCAAAGAAGGTAGTAAGAAAGTTTGATTGGCTGCAATGTCAGATGAAAAGAAGAGATGCAGAGAAAATACAGGACATAGGAAGAGACTTGCCATATATAGGAAACACTGTTGCACGGAAGCAATAACTTCATAGTTGATATGTTTGGCTGTCACAGCCAATTTATTCCGATAACTAGTTCCACGTTAATTAATAGTTAACCCTATCACATGCATATTGCATATTCTTAGAGCATTTGATATTTTAAATTGTGCATTATAACAGCACAAAACATGTGATGTGTCACCTAGCAAGTAGGACAAGTCTCTGATATTCTGATATCTCACTAACAAATACTTGTTTATCCAAACATATCTAGTCCAACAAGTGATAAGTAACTTCATCATAAGAAAAAGCTCATATAACTAGCAAGGGTATTCAAGGATATTCCTTTATGTACAAGATACAGTAGTATGGAAAGAAAATAATCATATGGCCCCAAAAGAAATATAAACCATAGCAAAGATCTTATAAATTGTAAATATACACCTGCAAAAGCAACAGACTTTGTAGAAAATTTTGCAGGCTCGAAGTTATAAGCATCATGTTAATATGAAACATTTATTTACATAATATGGTTGACCAAAAGCATGCATAACATGACTCGAAAAAACTCAGACTGGGAAAGGAAACCTAGTGTTTTACAAGTGGCATTCATCAGATGTCAGCCCTCTCAGTCAAGTGGGCTGATGCTGGCCACTGCAAATTTAGGCAAAGTGTGCAAGTTGGCGGGTAAGAATTCTTTCTTGTTATAATTGCAGGTCCTATAGACTATAGTGATGTTTTGCTCTTAATAAGCTAGTATAAAATTTATCTTCATCCAAATATTCCATAAGTGATCTGCTACCAATTTAGCAAGATAGTTTTAGATTAAGTTTCCAATCTTCTAATTATAAACTTCAGCTGTCAGTTGTCTCCAAAAATCCACAGATGAAATATACAAATATACTCAGTCTGGTAGTGGATGTTCAGATAAAATTACTATATGCACAATTGTCCATTTAGCATTTTTAGCATAACAAACATTATTTATCAATGGAAGTAACCTTCTGTTTGACATGACTGTGGAACATCGACATATCCAATACCTTATTCTAAATCATAGAGGCAAAATTCTCAAACTGAAGGACTAGTTGTATAAGTAAAAAGAGGACCAAAAATTGCTGTTTTCAGATGTTGGCACCAGGATTCGTTTAGCTCATCAAAACAACTAAATTGTATGGTGATAACAGCTTCGAGCAGGTCATACTATGTTGAGTATCTTAGAGTAAACAAATTTAAATATATTCATAATAGATCTCCAGCATGCAATGAAAAGAATGGAAATCCAACTGAAATCAAGAAACACCAAACATGTGCCATCATAGAACTATCTTGAAGTATATGAATCTGGTATATATGCATTTAGATGAACCACTGAAAAGAAAGCTATTTGAGTCAACAAAGGGTAACAAAGGCTGGTAAAATGCTGTAGCAATAAAATGAAACTCATCTCTGGTAAATGTAGTCTACAAAAAACAGCTCTTTGAAAATAAAACTTAAAGCAACCTGTAACTTAAACATAAGTACTATACCAACCTGTAAATTGTAATAAAGATCTCGTGTACGGTTCCTATAAGTGAACCTGATATATATGGACCATATTTAACATTTGTTGCAACAGCTGCATAGTTAAAGATAATATATGGAAATGGTGAAATCCTGAGTAAAATAACAGCTCGGAATTGATGAAACCAATCTCCTTCACCAGCTAATCTTACAATAGCTGCTTTCTTGGGCCATTTCTCCAACCATCTCTACAAAATAAGGTATGGAGTTATAAAGAAGAATTTTAAGCTTTATAAGTAGATGGACATAAAAAAACCAGAAGTAGAGACTAACATGTATATTGTCACGAAAGAATGATCCAACAAAAAAGGGCAGCGACATGCCTATACAACTCGCTGATATAATTAACAGAAAGCCATAACCATAGCCAAATGTCATCCCTGCTATCCACATACAAGGTGATGAAGGTAACAACATACTCGGAAACAATGCAATACAAGAAAAAAGTAACAGTCCAAGGACCGATGTGCTGAATGTGGCTCTCTCCCAGTCCAAAATTGGTACAACCACCTGCAAGAAGAATAAATCTATTAATTTAAAACAGAAAGAACTAGAAAAAGAAGGCTAAAAGTTGGAAACATACTCTTCTATGACACAAAAAAAGAGTATTCATCTTATATTCCATTTTGAGAAACATATATTAGCACATATTTAATTGGCAATGCAAGTTAAATTTTGCTATAGGTTCTATGATAAGCATCTTAAAGATGCATAGACTTCTACATCACAGAACAAAATATTATGATTTCGAAAGCAATGTGGTCTGCCAGTAGCCTCATGTGTAGCTTCTCTGTTGCCCTGGGTTTTAGTTGCTTGAAGAAATCTAGGTGTAGAATATATGGAAAGTTTAGAATCAGTAACCAGATTTCTTACTTCAACTGGGTACTTTACCTGACTTTTGGTTCTTAGTCGAAGTGCAAAGGATTTAATAACAATCAAATAACAGGGGAACAGGTCGAAATGAAACACATTAAAATGAAGTTAGCAATTGAACGAATAATTTAAATTCAATGATCATTGTAAATTATCATCCTTAACTATCTTAACCACAAGCATCTGCATCATGTCATATTTTTTTAGTAATTTTAGCACCTTGAGAATAAAAATTTCTTTTTCACTAAAATCAATCTCTTTTGTCTTTTATTAACTAATCAACATAGGTAATATGAACACAATAAACTATATATCTGATTACCCAAACAGATAGAAAGAAATAGAGGGAACCTTTTTGATGATCAAAGGGCCAGCAAAGATGACGAGAGGCACCGCGGCCGCGCACAATAAAACGCACAAGAGAGCCAC